ATCATCCTTCTTCATTGATTGATCTTTTTGCTGACACTGTGGGAGATAATCAGGCCTATGATGTATGATTTTTTGTTATTTTAACAGCAATGTTAAGTTATTTGCTCGGTTATTTGTCACTGTTTATTGTACACGTAAAAATAGAGATAGGTATAGATTTTGAGCTATAACACAACTGTTAAAATAACAGGAGAGGATACATAATAGGCACGAATGTATCGGATCTGTAACTGTTAAGGTATAATTTTTATAAGGCTGACTACGATCTGCTGAAAGATTGCTTTGAATCTATGGAATGGAGCTTTTTGTATTGTAATAATATCCATATAGTATGCTCTCGAAATGTCGGTCTTACACATTGCAATTGACCTACATGTTCCAAAAACTAGAGTCTCAACTGTAAAATACCCTAATTATTTTTCAAAGGAAACGATTGCTCTGATTAATAAGAAAAACAAAGCCTTTAATAGTTATTTATACCAAGTGAGTTAAATGAATGTTTATTCATGAGAAGAAAGCTTAACCCACGAGCCCTAGCGAGTGGGTTAATTTTCTTCGAATGAATAAACATTTTAACTCACGCTCACAAATTCCAAAAATAAAGTACCTACAAGGAAAAATGCCGAGAGTGAGTTAAAAATATTTTATCCAACACCTGGCTAGTTATAAGATTCATTATTTGTGCCAATTTACACAGGTAAACTATCAAATAACTCACTATTTATCTCTGTAACTCACTCTCTCATAACGTCAACGCAAAACGTCAGGAAATAGAATTTTCATAAATCATGCTTTAAAGAAGACTCATTCACAAAAAATACCTGTTAGTTTTTTCAATTCCTATAGACTGCTCGTGTGTTATGATTTCTTAATTGTTAGATAGAACATTGTATGCTACTCGTGTGTTATGTTTTCTAAGTCACTTGAGAAATTATTTATAAGTTTTTCTCGCGTGACTTATTTTCAACATAACACACTAGTACCATAAATAACTATTAATTCACTGAGGTGTCAGAATTCTAGTTGGGCACAGTGAGTTAAAATGCCGAGAGTGAGTTAATTTTTTTTTTCAAATCACTGAGGTGAGAAACGTCTACTTACCTTTATTGTTATGCATTCAATAATGTCATTTTTCAACGTCAAAATGGGATAAAAAATATAAACACACTAGATTAACTTATAATGAGTGTCAGAATAAAATACTTAGGTCACAGTCAAAGACTTCCATCAAGAAAGACTATGATACTTTCGTTCAGACTGTACAAAATAATATCTTGAACAATACTAAAGCATTCTGGTCTTACATAAAAACTTAACGTAACACAGCTGGTTATCCTGTGAAAATGAGTTTTAACAATGTCAATTCAAGCGATCCTAAGATCATCTCAGATTTTTTTTCAGATATCTTCCAGTCTGTATTTACTGTACCCGACCCTGCAGTCACTAAAAACCCATTTCCATGTTCTATCAACAATATGGTTCTTTCTAACATAGAGATTAAAAGTGATATTGTACTTCAGAAACTTATCGGACTAGACGAGAAAAAGGGAGTAGGATTAGATGATTATTCCTCCAATTTTCGTGAAGAACCAACCTTAACGTCACCACTCAGTTACCTGTATCGGCTATCTGCTATCTCTCGATTCGGGTCAGTTCCCGAACCAGTGGAAATCTGCCTATGTGACTGCTATATTTAAGGGGGGTGTCAGAGGAGACATATCCAACTATCACCCCATATCTGGCCATGATTGTATGGCCAAGGTTATGGAATCTATTGGCATTGACGAGCTTCTGTCAAATCTATACAACAGTCCTTCAGAACACCAGCATATGGCTTCCTGCCAGGGCGTTCATGCCAGACGAACTTCTTAGGTGTTTATTCCCATTAACTGTCTACCTTTATCGACTTCGGAGGTCAGGTTGATTCGATCTATTTTGATTTTAAAGAGGGCCTTCGACAGAGTAGATCATGTCATACTCCTCAATAAACTAGAGTCATTCGGCGTCACAGACCCTCTTTTATGTTGGGCTGCAAAGTTACCTACAGAACCGAAAACTGTTCGTTAGGATTAGAGGAGCTGTATGTAGAGAAATTGCAGTCACATCTGGTGTACCCCAAGGGTCACATGTGGTCTCTATTTTGTTTCTTGTTTTCATTAATGACCTTGCCAACACATTCACCAATTGCAAATTTCTCTTCTATGCTGACGATCTCAAAATTTTCAGAAGCATCACTTGTATCCACGACTGCTCACATCTACAGCACGAGATCGATAAGATATCAGAATGGTGTACGTTAAATGGAACTGAATTAAATACTTGCAAATGCAAGATAATATCGTTTTCCCGAAAAAAAAACGCCCATCCTGCACTCCTACTTTATTGCACGTTCCATTCTGCCAAGAGTAGATCTAATTAACGATTTGGGAATATTTTTTGACACTAAATTAAGATTTAATGATCATAAATTTTATCTTAGCAAAAGCCTTCAAAATCGCATGCGTAGGTGTGGGGAATTTTCCAATATCGAGGTACTGAAGTCTCTGCATTTTTCATTGGTGCGAAGTCACCTCGAGTATTCCTGCATAGTTTGGTCGCCATATTACCAAACCCATATTAAGCCTATTGAACGTGTTCAAGGGAAATTTGTCAACTTCCTGCTATACAAACTTGGAATTGACAAAAGTCAATTCTCACACCAAGGTCGTTTGCAACTGCTGAATATCGATAGCTTGAAGATGCGTAGGACATTTCTGACACTCATGTTCGGGTTCAAAATACTAACTAATAATGCGAACTGCACGAAACTTGTGGCACTTATAAACATTCGTGTACCTTCACGCGATACGCGTTTAAATGGCATGTTTTCAACCAATAGAAGCCGGACTGATGTTGACAAAAATAGTGTCATGAATCGCATCATGCATCATGCATCAACACACATATTCCTGCGAATTTTGATTTCAATGCCTCTACTCTCGCCTCTACATATATTTAAAAATTCAATCAGGTGAAACCGAAAATACAAACGTAATGCTTCTTGTGAAAATTGTTTTTATTTATTATGGTTGAGACAACTCTCTTTGCATTCACACTTTTGCCCATCTATAGTGACAATAATTATGAACATTCCATTGAAAATACCAAGGCTTGCCCATGTTAAGATTACTAAGCTGAGTGAAGGAATGCAAAAGAAAACGAAATTACCATTAGTTTATTGAATTTGTATATTAAAATAAATTTTGCAGAAAGATTTATTCATTTCATACTCCATGCAAAACAATTAAATATTAATACACACTGGATTTTATATCTAGAAGTCATACCTCAACTGAATCGATTTCATTCTCATATTGCATCACAAAAAATTTGGAACTTTGTTTAGGAAAGTCTCTGTAAATATTCATATGCCGTGCCACCAGATCATGTCCTTCTATTGGGCCATCAAAAATTAAAGTTGGCATCGATAAAATTGAAAATGCCAAAAGGGCAACTGGCAGTCGAAAATATAAGGAATGAATCGATGAATTGAGAATAGGGATATAATGCAAAACAAGAGACTATGTATTTAATCTACAAGACTAACAACCCAATAGTTATATTGTTGAAAATGACCGAGATTTTATTCAGTTTTGGTAGACAAAGAAGAAAGTAGGGAGAAAACTGAGATAATGGAACTAAAAATGAATGATATATTGAAATTTGAAAAGAAATAAGAAATCCTAGACCACTTTGCGCTATTCGAACATATTATTGTATTCCTAGCTATTATCTAATAAATTAATCTTAAAAAACACAGATAAATAAATAACCATATGTGCTCCATTAGTATGTAATGTACCACGATTATGTATGTATGAATTAAGTGTTCGCCAACCAACAGATCTACCCACTAAACCAAATACAAATGGTAATATGTGACCTTGTTCAGCATAGAATGCGCTAAACATGGTCAATGATATGCCTATACCAATGCAAAGAAGATGGCATATCTAATTTTGTAACATAAGCCTAAGACTATTTGATAATTTACATATTTTACTACCGGATTTGAGCGCACAAATTGGACTTTATTTCATTATTTAATAACCAAAGTTTTATTTTTCAACAGTTTGCTGACCAAATTTTACTTACCTATCTGTTAATTTGTTGCCTATATACCTACCTGAACTTTGGAAGAACGTTTGACAAAGTGCCTATGTATCGACTCTCATGAGTACCTATATAATTATCTTAGGTGTCGTTCCAGCGAGATGATCCTAAAGATGCATATCATGACGTATAATTAAGACCTAAACTTTTTAAACCTAATATGAACAATGGGCAGTGCATCTGACTACTTCAGCAATATTGAATTTCTGGAAAGAGTACCTATACAGAGACAAATTACCAAGATCCTGGGACCCCAGGAAACCCAGGCTATACAGACTGAATTTCAACACCTTTTGAGGAAAAATGCTGAGAGGTAGAAAGTTTCTCGTCTCTGAGGTCAGAGCAAGAAAACAGCAACAGCAACAAGTTACTGTGAATAAGTTTTCATCCCAACTACAAACAATTCCGACTTGTTAAATGATCTACATCAAATTCTTCTCCTTTCTCACGCTTATTTTTTACATTATTAAGCCGATTAACACAAGAAATTCCTTTATTAAAATGTTGGCGTGCCAATGGAATAAAGTGATATATAATCTACAAGATCTTTATAAGTTGTTCTTCGGCCTGCACGTGTTGCGAACACGTGCAAAAGGCAAACAGCGAGAAATTGCTGAGGGAATAAAGTACCTACTTTGACTTTTTTCTGGTTTGTCTTTTATACCCACATTCTTTAACGCCAAGATTATAAATACAACTACATTTTCTATATGCGTTTTCCAATTAATATCCAATTTACGGATACAAACTAACCATCCATTTCAATGTGTTATTCATTTTATTATCTTATGGCATGAAATTACTTTGTTTAAATTATCTTCTATCAACTAAAGTTGTTTTTTTTCTAGGTCTACAGCCAACTCCAAGACGCAACAGACTTCAACCCCCAAGTAACAGCAACCTGTAAAGCCGATCACACAATGCACATAAAAGTCAATTTTAACGGTTCCTTTTACGGTACGATACACGCTCGGGATTTCAGGACTCCGGCCTGTATGTCTGTAGGGGATGGTGGTAAAACTGTCACTTTGAATATTAGTTTATTGGCACCTCAAGGATCGTCCGAATATTGTGGCTTGTTGGTGAATAATGTAAGTATAAGTATCGTGGATATCTCAGATATCTGATTATTTTCGTTTACAGCACGTAATAGTCATCAATCTATTTTAAATTTACCCACATTCATCTTGAAACTCTTGAAGAATATTTGTGGAAGGCGTCTTAAAGACATCTTGAAGACGTACCTAGTATGTAACAAAACCCAACATCTCTCAGACGCCTTCAGGACTAATTGATATTTCATTATTATTATTCATTTTTATAACTTGCAATGTTTGTCTATTCCAAACGCTAGGCTCTTTAAATTCTTCATTTCTTTTAAACAAAAACATACACAAAATTAATCTGGGAAGCATTAGAAGAGCCAGGAGTAAAAATTAAGAAACAAATCAAGAGCCTGAAATTCTAAAACACGGGAATAATGAGAATTCTAAGAACTTGGAATGAAAAAATTCAAGAGAAAAAAATTTAGATTTAAGAAATAAGGAAAAATTGATGAGTCTGGAATAAGAAAATATATAAAAATTCAAGAATTTGGATTGAAAGAGAAGAAAGATTTTCTTGCTAATGTTTCCTTATTATTACTAATTTTATAACTTTCAATTTTTGTCTATTCCAGCCGCTAGGGTGTCTGAAATAATTCTGAGGTTTTTAAATTGTTCAGAAGCCTTTCACAACGCTGCTGAAAAGTGTTTTGGAACGTTTTAAATGGTTTATTGAAGTTCTAAAGTTTTCTAACTTGGCTTGAAGAGTTCTGGAGCATTTTCAGTAATTTCTGAATTTCTGACAGATTTTTAAGTACAGTCATGAACACAAAAAGTGAGACACCCGACTGACAGGTCTTGTCATTTTTCGCTATTATGCGTGAATCAGTCTTTTCTCTACAATCGATTTTTTGTTGGAGTGTAACCCTAAAAAACGACTTAAGCTACCTAAATCAAGAAAAAAATTCTAAGATCTCTCGTGAAAACCGAAGTCCTATATTCAAAATAGTCTGCGAGAGAATTCCTTGTGAAGATAAATTATGCAGGAACTTGTGATGTCACAACCGCCGAAATCGCAGTCTTCTGTTCGTTCAGTCGTCAGTAAATCGTACTCAATACTTTGAGTAATTGCAATTCGCTCTAGAAGATAATTGTCTTTTGTTTTGGAAAATTCTTACACGTGTTAATAAATACTGTCCCTGATAATCCAGTGTGACGTCACAAACACCTAGTTGTAATTTTAAGCCACCCTAACTCGAAAACGGACAATCGTAGCAAGGATGTGGTTTAAATATTTATTCTTAGATTTTTTTTGCACTAAAACTTCCAGTGTTTGAGTGTTTTTTGGAGCATCCTAAAATGGATTTCAAACTTCTCAATTGTTCTGAAATGCTTTTCGAAATCGGTTTTTGAATGTTTTGAAGTATTCTAGAATGGTTCTGAAGTTTCCAAATTGTTCTGAAGCACTACAGAATACTTTTGGAAATTCTGAATTGAATTTCAAGGGTGTCTTCATATATGTTGACTTTAACTAGCTTGTACTCAAGCATGTTGTGTATTCCCCTGCAGTAGGTGCTGTTGACTCTATGTCTTACGGCGGTGACCACACTGACCACCTCGACACTCGCAACGAGGTTTTGAGCCGCTGTATCAGATAATTTTCCTGGTTTGTAGGCATGTTGTTGTTTGCATAGGGGGATTTACAAAAGCGACCTATCTCTTAAGTGCCTATTGTTATGTCTTCAGCATCCGGTATTTTTGTACCTTTCACCTTTACCATATAACTGGTAAAGGTAGAGTTTGAAGTGTTGTGATTTTGTATAATCAGTTTGTCATAATTATTGTTGAAAATATAGTTGACTTGAAAAGTAAAGCATTATTGCATACTTATTAGTGGCGATGAGGATAAACCTATTTACAAATAAAAATGGATGAAAAACAATTTAAAGGATTTTTGGAAAATTTTTCAAAAATTATGCAGGCTACAACGAAAGTTCAAAACACCTCCAGGGAAAGTATTTCGATGGAACCTTTCTTGGAACATACGGAATCTTGGGATTTATACATTAAAAGATTAGAAAACTTCTTTGGTATGAAAATTTTTTCAGGATCTACTGCTGAAATAGAAAAAAAGGAAATGAAATGGTTGCTTCATGCAATGGGAACCAAAACCTTACAACTTACTTACAACTTGGTAAGTCCTGATGATCCTAAGGAACATATGGAAGAATCAGTGAAGTTAGGTTAGTAAAGGAACACTTAAATCCTTCTTCAAGTATAATTGCAGCACAAAATAAATTTGCAAAGTATTTACTTACCTTAAAAAGTAATGCAGGGACTGTGAATTCAAATGTTTTCTGTAATGCTTCTACTGTTGATGTGCACCTTCGACAACAATTTGTTAGTGGTTTGAAAAATCCAAATCTTATTGAAAAAATAATACAACTAAAAGCTCCAAAGAATAATTTTTCTGATTGCGTTACTGTGGCCATGGCAATGAAAACTGCACATCGAGAAACGCCAGAAATTCAAAATTGTAGTTTGTTTGATCAAAATCAAAATCAAAATAAAGTTAATACAGTAAAACTACGATCAGTCGATCAGTACAACAGAAAGAGTTCAAGAAGTTAAAATCCTGCTACCGCTGATGTGAAAATTCACATTTAGCAAATAGCTGTGTTAAAATTAATCTAAACTGTAACAAATGTGGTAGAAAAGGACACATTGCTAAAGTATGTATGAATTCTTCTTCTGTTCCAAGAAATTCATCCTCAACTTATAGGAATTTAAATCAATTACAATTTTTGAAAAAAGTAAATGAAGATGAATTATATTACCTCAATGCACTTGATACAATATATTTACCAGAAAATTTTTCAAAACCAAAGAAATATCTAGTAAAAGTAACTTTAGATGGAATCCAGCTAAAAATGGAGTACGATATTGGAGCTGCGGTATCTTCGATTTCATATAAGGATTTTATCAACAAATTTGCTGGAAAAGACATAAATAAAACATATAGGTACAGGTGAAATTATAGAACCCATTGGTTTTTTAAGTATGAATTTGGAAGTTAAGAGAAGGGAAGTTACAGCTAATTTATATATTATACCAGGAGAAGTTGACCCGATTTGTGGCAGAGAATGGATATATACCACAAAACTTGTGACCCCAGAAATACATTCTGTGAACATATTGGAGGAAAAAGAGGAGGTGACTGCAAGTCTTAAAGAAACATTTACAGATGTTTTTCAAGACGATTTGGGAAAAATTAAAAATTTCAAAGGTAATCTTTTTCGTAAAGAAAACTGTTCACCCATATATAAATACATTCCTACTCGGAAAAGTCCTTATACTTTAGAATAAAAAGTGATTTTTGAAATAAATAGACTTGAGACGAAAGGTATTTTAACTAAGTTGTAGTATAGCGAGTGGGGGACTCCCATAGTTCCACTTTTGAAGTCTGATGGTTCTGTTAGGCTATGCGCTGATTACAAAATAACAATAAATTACTTAAAGATGATAAATTTCCAATGCCAAATGTGGAAGATATATTTGCGAAAAACATGCTCGGTGGAAAAATATTTACGACATTGAATATTAGAGAAGCCTATTCACATACGCCAATGAATGGAGAAAGTGCTAAAATCCAGACTATTACAACTCCAATAGGGGATTATACAGGTCGATTGTGACATTTTTAATGAGATTAAAAACGAAATTGTTTCTAATCAGGTTTTATGTATTTATAATCCAAAATTGCCTTTAACAATAATAATAATAATAATAATAATAATAATAAAAGGTCATATTTATTAAGAAAAAACTCATAAGAATATTACAAGGAAAATAACATTTTGATGAGGCATGAAATCCCAAAAAATAAAATAAACTACATAATAAATATTATTATAAGGGCGAGATTCAGCTCACCACCCTAATGTTTAGTTAGGGTGGTGTCTGTTCTTCCACCTAACCCAGAAAGAGAGTGGATTTACTTAGATTTATAAGTAAACTAGCTGACCCGGCGAACTTCGTACCGCCTCTGAATTATTAAATACCTATTAAATCGATCTAATCTAGGTAAATCGATTTCGGCTTACATAAAGATACGTGGTATTAAATTCCAGATCGGTCTAGCCGTTCTCGAATTCAAAAAATAATAAAGTTACGTCGGCTGAATGCGCAAGCCTAAATAAATGAAATTTGGCAACGTTGTTTCATGTTGTCAAAAAAAATTTAGATTATATTGTTATGTAATGTGAATGAGATTGCTTATAATTAAATTATTAATTAATTCAAAATCAATTTCTTTTTCTGAGATACGTAACCTATCCACAAACCTTCCTTGGGATGGCCATAACAACCTACCAGAGTTTCATCGTAATCGGATAAGTGGTTTCGGAGCACATAAGGCACAAACAAACAAACAAACAAACAAACATTGATTTTTCTATACATAGAAAAGTTGGTTTATGTTGTTATGTAATATGAATGAGTTTGTTTATAATTAAATTATTAATTAATTCAAAATTAATGTATTTTTCCGATATGCGTAACCTATTCACAAACCTTCTTTGGGATAGCCATAACAACCTACCAAAGTTTCATCGTAATCGGATAAGTGTTTTAGGAGCGCATAGGGCACAAACAAACATTAATTTTTATATGTATAGATAAAGATAATAATAGCGCTTTCGACTTTTGTCTCAAAACTTCTCCCGATTGATCAAAAAGCGATCCGAAACGGACTCACGTGTTCGAATAGGGAATTTTCATATTTCCTAATTTTTTTTTTTTTTAGATACTTCTAGTGATCAGATATACATAGTTTTCTTTTTTTCCATTTTAATTTATACGTTGTACGAAAAAAAAATTATTGAAATTCAAATCAAAAAGTTTGGCGCGAAAACGCGTAATTTCAATATGACAGCGTCCGTGTTGTCAAGATTTTGTAAACAACAAACGCAGTAAACGAATTCTTGCGGACGCAGTGATTTTTTTTGTGTTATTCAAGTGTGTTAAAGTTTGCTTTTGTGAAAATTGTC